GTTAATGACTTCTCACCTGCTGGTTCAGATTTGAAGCCATTTAAACCACCTGTTCTGTCAAACAAAAAATATTCATTTATCAGATTGAGTCCACTGCTTCTTTTGAGGGTTTTTTGTCACATTTGGAATATTAATTATTTTATTTATATATTTTTTGGTGTAGTTTTCTGATCCAGTCTCTTCAGGATTTAAAGCTACCTGGATGGAAATCCCTTTTGTGCCTGACGACACACAGACAAGTTGAGCAGATCTCCCCTGTGAGCACTTAATAAAAGGATTGGCTTCATTTATAAGATTTTATTGGCAGGTTTTATGTTTTAAAAGGCTGCAGCTTTCAGTTTTCGGTGTGTTTGTTTGCTCTGAGGTAAAGGTTGCACATTTTCCCCTGCGAGACCAAAGGCTCAAAGATTTCAGGACTGGCTTAAGAAACCAGCTCGGTATTTTAGATTTTTTTTTCTCACAGATTCTGTGCTTCAGTGATGCTAGATGTTTTGAAATGTTCTTTATTGTTACTCAATGGTTAGCTTTTAGCTTCCACCACCCAAATTAAATCATTGAGCTCCCAATAACCTAAGAAAGATATTTACTTGAAACACTGAAACATTGTTTTCCCACATCTTCAAAACACGTTAATTGAACATGGCGGGTCTTCAATTATCACTCGGTAGGTAAGCGGCTTTTTAAAGCATAAATAAAGCAAAAAAAGATAAACGACTGCAAACAGAATGTAATATTTTCATGATTGTTTTGACAGAACAAAGCATTTGTGTTGGTTGTTGAGAATCAAACACAGGAGACACCTGATTTAGCCCCTGGTAGCAACATCTTTATGCATAAATTTTAGCTTCTGTTTTCTAATAAAGCTCTATTTGTTGTTTCATCTTGGCGCACGAGATGCAAATAAATGCCAAACCTTCACACCAGGAGCAGAACATCAAATCTTAATATGGCCGTGGCTCCAAGAAGAACCATTGGTCACGCACTGATGGACACTTGAAGGGTAGATTTTTAGAGTAAACAATCTAAATTGGCTCTAATTGACATCATTTGGCTTCTCGTTAAGCATCCCACATGCAGATTGATGTTTTAACAGTCAAATCCATGCTCTGAAGGTCATTTCTCTGTTTTTTTTTATTGCTGTTCAGAAATAAAAATCCAAACATTACTGCAGGAAGGACGCCGTTCCACCAATTAATCATCAATTATGAGCAGGATATTGAATTATTAATGCCAACGTTGATGTTTTTGGCGTCGCTGCTGAGGACTGAGTCAGCGTGCCGAGGTACTGTGGCACGTCGGAGACTGACTCTAATCTGGCTTTGAATTCAAACAAATTAATATATGTGGGAAGAGATGGGACATAATGGAGGTTAAACTCACATTTACTGTCCTGATGCATCTCAGTAATCCAGGTAAAAAATCTAAAAGAAAAGAATTGTATAGGTCTTCTGGACGGGTTCTTCTCTAATGAAACGTTTCGTCTCTCCTCCAAGAGACTTCTTCAGTCTGAGAGTTTCAGGCAAAATTCAGGCTTTTAAGCACTGCCTCCATGTGACTGATACTCACATCACATGGCTATCGTTGACACCTAATTAACACCTATTGTTAAAAGGGGGTGGAGTGATACTGGCAATAGCAGCACTGTAGGAGGGGGACAACTGAAAACGGAGGCCTCCACCTCTGTTTAATGATGGACGGTCTTTCTTCATATAAATGGCTTCTTTTACTCCTCTCTCAAACCAACGTTCCTCTCTATCAAGAATGATAACATCCTCATCTCTGAAAGAGTGACCGCTGGCCTGTAAATGAGTGAAAACTGCAGAGTTCTGGCCATCAGATGTAGCTCGTCTGTGTTGGGACATTCTTTTGAACAGTGGCTGCTTTGTTTCCCCGATGTATAACTGGTCGCAGTCCTCCTGGCACTTAACAGCATATACAACATKGCTCTGTTTGTGCCGGGGCACCGGATCTTTGTGGTGAACCAGCCTTTGCCGTAATGTGTTTTGGGGTTTGAAAACCACTTTCTCACATTTACTGTTTTTACAAGGAAAATCACTGCCGGCGTTATCTGATTTTAAAAGCTAGACATAAATGTTTATGAGCTTAGCTGTACTAGGCATGTGGAGTGATGTGAGATTAAAACATATGATTCAATCTCATTAAAAAATAAAGGTTAGAAAAAGGTCTCTTGCACCAGTGACTTGTTGCAGACCATTCTTAATGAACTTTTTAAAGATTTGTAATATCTGGTTCTTTAGCTTTTAGGGATTTTCTTTTTAATTTTCTCACTTCCTTTTTATAGATTAATAAAGTGGGTAAACTGTGAGTGTCAGAAAGTTACAGAGTCATGTCCCGGTTTTAGTTCTGGTAATGTTTAAATTCTTAATTTATGTTTTATAACAGACGTAATTTACAAGGGTTGGGAATCTTTTAACCACATCACGATTCGGATACGGTTCAGAAAGCTGCAATGCAGTTTCATAAAATATCCAAACTATTATCGATTTTTCTTCATAACCAGACGTCAAACTAAATCCTGAAGATAGAATGTTTCTGACTTTAAAGAGACAAAGTATGTCACTCTAAATGAGAGCATAAAACCGTTTTCACTCAAATAAGATTACGGGAACTAAACGAATCAAAATGCTGAGTGCAGTGATATAAGATGCTGTGGCATTAGATGTCTATAATGTCCGTTACATCACAGGGACCTGACCTGCTCTCTTGTTTTCACCTCTTCGTGGGAAAGGCTGTGACCACCTTCTGTCATGGCTGAAACGCGGAACAAAGTGCACACTGTATTTTAACTCCTGCAATCCTTTTGCTATAAAAGTTGCAACCCACTTTGGAGTTTGTTTAGCCTTTTATGGGTTCGGTGGAAACCCTGTCACTCACTTGATGGTCCTGTGTTAGTGGTAGCAGCAGCAGCTACAACCGATTGTTTTTCTTCTTGCTCCCCTGATGGAAACGGACCTTGCATATAATATGGCACTCAGCATCATTTTCCCCTTTTAATTTCATAAAAGCAGAAAAAACTTCTCAACACTGCTTTTCAGTGCAGAGGCTACAGTTTCATGTCCTGGTCATTGTGTTTATGGCTTAATGGTCAACTTCTGTGCTACAGAGCTCCACCTTTTGCATTCCTCAGCATGACATCAACAATATAACCAATTATTATTATTTTTTATAAATGTTTGAAAAGTAAGGGGTGGATTGTTTTCTATCTACTCATCTTGCACTGACTCAGTGCTGATGGAACATTTCCTGATCCAAAGCCAGATGTTATCAGGTGTTTATATGTTTTAGACCAGTAAAATAAACATCACTTAAAAATACCGTTAATTAAAAAAGCTGCATAATATGTGAAATGGGTTTGATAGATAGGCTGTATTAGAATTTTGTCAGTTTATTAGAGATGTATTTTCCCCAGGTACTGTCTATGTCTCAATTCACGGGCTGCATCCTCATGTAGCCCACCTGGGCCATGTGGGCCACATCCTTCCCAGTCCGGGTAGGCTGCATAAAACTGCTGTGAAATGAGACGGTCTAGCTTTCGCTTGACGTCGGCTTGACGTAAGTTTGCGTGACCATGTGCTACATTGTTACCGGCGAGGTATATAATATTTAGCCACTGGCAGTGTTGTATAAAGTACCACAAAGTGATACTTGAGTAAAAGTACAAGTATCTTACCAAAAACATACTTCGGTATAAGTTAAAGTCTCATTGAGGAATATTACTTGAGTAAAAGTCTTAAAGTATCTGATATTTTTTGTACTCAAGTAATAAAAGTAAAAGTATTGATTTAAAATGAGCAGTTAGGTTTTTCGTAATGACATTTATTAGGAGGTGACCTCACCAAAACAACACAGAAATGACTGTTTTATTAAAATAAGCAATTTATGTTAAATTTAGGATGGACTAGTCCAGCTGTTTCAGTTTATATACACACATCAAGGCTGCACAAAACTTTTCCCCAAAATAAAAATCTATCTGAGGGCTGCGGCCAAATACAATAATATAATGATTATGTCCTGCTGGAGAGTGACATGATTTGTTTGTGTACAAACTAATACGGCATCAGAATTTTACATATTTCTACTTCTC